GTGGGTAATTTAAGCAGTCGTTTAGTTGACTAAAAGTACTAATAGCACACTGTAAAAATACTCAATTAAGAATACAAGTACTGCATCGACAATGGTATTTAAGTTGGATTAGGAACATTTACTTAAAGTATTTAGGAGTACAATAAGTCACTCAAAATAATATGTTAAAGCAAAAGCAGCACATTTTCTCATTTTAAGAAGCTTGAACTATGACCAAAACTTCAAAATTGCTGCAAATGAATTTCCTGTTTACTCACTCGAGGTTTTAGCTACTTAAATCTAATGTTGGATGGTTTAACCTATAGAAATTAATGTTATTTTCAACGTTTTTTCCATATATTATGTGTCAAAATTTGAATTTATAAAGTAACTAGTAAATAAACAAGAGGAAAAAGTACATACTTGGCTTCCAAAATGTAGTAGAGTAAAAGTATAAAGTAGTTTACAATTTAAATACCGAAGTAAAGTACCTCAAATATGTACTTAGTTATTTTCCTGCAAAAAAGGTAGGTTAAAGGTGAACCATGGCACTTTTTGAGTTGAGTTTGACCTCACATGAACTCTACATACTATCTTGTCTATTAACTCATTTTAATTATACTTTAATGAGCTTTTCCCGATGTTTTATAGACTTTAAAATAGTTCAAAATGAGATTAAATTAAGAATAATAACGATTTGTTTGTCCCCCTTCAAAATCCAGATGAACGTTCTATTGACATAACGGTCGTTTCAATAACCGTTTCCATGGTTACTGAGTTTTAAATTAACGGTTAAACTTGTACGTCTAATTTGTTTGTGTTTAATTTGAAAATGGTAACTTTAAAATTATTTTTTGTAACCAAATATGACTCTGTGTGAACTGAAACTGACATTAAGGCTTTAAATGTAGTTTTTCCAATGATATTTTTTATATATTATTAAACACTCAAACATCAGTTACCACACAACAAACAACTATAATCCACCTCAGTGACAAATATCTAATACTATGGCCAAATATTTGACACATACAAGGCCTTTGACTATGTTTGCATTGCACACATACATAAACAGCTGTGAGCAAGGACAGAGCATCTGGGTTAAATAAAGTAAATAGAAGACATGACCAAGGGGTTCTGAAAGTGGTTAACTATACAAATAGTGTTAAGAAATAAATCCCTGTTTGTCCCATTAGCTGAAAATATTCAGTTGACTTTGACAGAAACCCAAGAATAACAGGACATTCCTCACATTTTACTGCACAAATGTACTTTAATGCAGGACTCTCCCTTGTCTGAATACTTTTTCCAGTTTGTCAGGTGTTTTCTTTTGTCTTCAAGCACTCTGACTATGCTCATTACATACTGACATTCCTCAGCTGAGATAAGCTGTGGCGTATGAAAAGCTTTTCCTGGCACTACAAAATATTTCCTTCTTCAATATTTCCTCATACTTTTAGTGTTTGTTCAGACTCTTTTTACTCTTTATTTCAGGTTGCAAACCATACCTAACTATCTAAATGATCCACTGACCTTCCTGAGCTTTTAACCAAACATCTCACTTACTTTATTGTCATTATTTGTCCTTTAGAAATAGCTAAATGAATCCAAGTTTAGATGGAATACATCCAAACACAATGGTCAGGATGTGTCTGTGTCATCACCTGATGTTTTAAAGGCTTACCTGTGTTTGTGTAGTATGATTATGTGTCTGTGTGAATGTCCACAGCAGACTGACGTTCTGTGTTCTCTGTCTTCAGTGAAGGAACCGTTCTGCAGTCAGTACCGCTGCGGTCCTCTGCTCGGCAGCGGGGGGTTCGGTTCTGTGTTTTCGGGCCAGAGGCTTTCTGATGGACTGCAGGTCAGACACCTTCAAACACACTTTTATCTCTGCAGATGTCTCTATTCTTTATTTAGTTATCTTTCACTTTTGCTTTGGTTTCTTATGTGAATCCTGTGATATCAAAATGTTGTTATTGTTCTAACGTTACTACTTCAATTACTGCCACTGCAAATCTAAACCCATGTTCTCCCTTTGTGTCCCTCCAGGTTGCCATTAAACAGATTTCCAGTGACAGGGTTCAGCAGTGGGCCAGACTGGTGAGTGATTAGCCTATTCTTTTCTGCAGAATGTCAGAAGACATCAAAAAGATCCAGGATCTGTCTTGTGTTATCAGACCTAGAACCCAAAAGTCAGATATATTCAGTTTACTGAGTTAAAAATTTTCTTTTTTCTTTTTCTAAAACCTAATTTAACTCTGTTAATAAGTTACAGTCAAATCACAATTTAAAAACGTGAGATTTTTTGGTATTAAAGTGGATTAAGCCATTTGTAAACAACGGACCGAAAGGTGTAAACAGACCTTGGGTCAGCTCTGCCCTCTGCTGGACTGACAGGTGAACTGCACCTGTTGGTGGGGCAGCCCCCCCTGTGATGTCACGGTTCAGTAAATGACGCTGTAGGGTTCCCCCTCAGTGACAGCTAATTTGTATTCTTTAGAACTCGGGACACCCCCCACCACAACACAAAACATCTGTTACACCTTCAGACGATGATTCAGGGCAAAAAACCCATAAGACCAAAAAAAAAACATGCGAAGAAACCAAAGTGGAGTTTCTGTGAGAATAAATAAAAGAGAATAACCTACATGAGTCATAACTCAGAGAAACTGCTTGTATTATAACATGTATGTACTTTTCTATGACTCAATTGTTAAAAATATTCTGTCTACTTATCAATCCACACATCCTAATTATTATAATTGAAGTAAAAGGTGTTTTGTTTTTTTCACAACAAAACCTTATTGACAAAAAACAACATTATTTCAAGCTACATTTTTGTCTGTAAATACACATTGTTATCCAGTGAGGACGGTGTCTCATGTTTATAATCCCCCCCCCTTTCAGCCCGGAGAGGCGGCTCCTGTTCCCATGGAGATCGCTCTGCTGCAGCAGCTGTCGGAGGTCGGAGGTCACGGGGCGGTGGTCCGCATGCTGGACTGGTTCTGTGTGGAGGGGCGGGGCTTCCTGCTGGTGCTGGAGCGCCCCCCCCACTGCCAGGATCTGTTCGACTTCATCACGGAGAGAGGAGCGCTCCCTGAACGCCTCGCACTCAGGTGTGTAATCGTTAACATATCAATGGTTTTATTGTCATAAACACAGAAGCCCATTTCCACCCAAGAAAATACAAATGTACCCTCCGAGTCAAAATGATGGCTTTCTATCTCATAATAATGACTAACAATCTCAACATTAGGAATTACATTATTTGGACTTATTCATCTCATTAATATGACTTACTATCTCGAAATGATGAAATGAGCTTCCATCCAAATACTGACATAGTAAGTCACTGTTGAAATAGTTCTGACTAACTAGTTCTGACTAACTAGTTCTGACTGACTAGTTCTGACTAACTAGTTCTGACTGACTAGTTCTGACTGACTAGTTCTGACTAACTAGTTCTGACTGACTAGTTCTGACTAACTAGTTCTGACTAACTAGTTCTGACTATCTCAACATTATCAACTGGTATCTCATTGTTTGACTTCAGTCGCTGGTGTTTAGGGGAAACAAGACGACACACACACACACACACACACACACACACACACACACACACACACACACTTAGTACAACTTTATAAATAAATGAGTATCAGATGTGTTTCCTGTTTCCCGTAAAAAGTGACATTCTCAAATATGATGAGAAATGTTAAAATTAGTTTTTCTTGTCTCCATGTGCTTCCTTAATGAACCCCCTGCTGTTCTGGTGTGTCAACGTTCTCTCTGTGTGTTAACGTTCTCTCTGTGTTAACGTTCTCTGTGTGTTAACGTTCTCTGTGTGTGTTAACGTTCTCTGTGTGTTAACGTTCTCTGTGTGTTAACGTTCTCTGTGTGTTAACGTTCTCTCTGTGTGTTAACGTTCTCTGTGTGTTAACGTTCTCTCTGTGTGTTAACGTTCTCTGTGTGTTAACGTTCTCTGTGTGTTAACGTTCTCTCTCTGTGTGTTAACGTTCTCTCTGTGTGTTAACGTTCTCTGTGTGTTAACGTTCTCTCTGTGTGTTAACGTTCTCTCTCTGTGTGTTAACGTTCTCTCTGTGTGTTAACGTTCTCTCTCTGTGTTAACGTTCTCTCTGTGTTAACGTTCTCTCTGTGTGTTAACGTTCTCTCTCTGTGTTAACGTTCTCTCTGTGTTAACGTTCTCTCTGTGTTAACGTTCTCTGTTCTGTGTTCTCCCTCAGGTTCTTCCGTCAGGTGGTGGAGGCCCTGCGGTTCCTTCACGCTCACGGCGTCGTGCACCGAGACATCAAAGACGAGAACATCGTGGTGGACACGAGGACGCTGGAAGTGAAGCTCATCGACTTCGGGTCGGGGGCGCTGCTCAAAGAGACGCCGTACAGCGAGTTCGAAGGTACAGACTAATAAAGCTTTTCAAATCAATGTAAGGACAAACACATATCAGAACACACTCTACATTCTTGTGTGTGTTATTTACAAGTGGAACAAAGTGCTTCAACAACACATCACACATTCAAGCAGAGAACAAGAAACTCCCATCAGAATCACATTAGTGTGATG